ATTCAAGGATTCTAGTTCTTCATGGGCTCTAGCTCTTTAAGGAATCTAGTTCTTCAATGGCTCTAGCTTCTCAAGGTTTCTAGCTTTTCAGACTCTTGTTCCTCAAGAATTTCATGACTTTATTTGTTCAAGGCCTTCCAGTCTATAGTGTTTCAAGAAATCTAGTTCTTCTAGGTCTCTAGTTCTTCAAGGATTTTAGTTCTTCAAGAACTCTAGTTCTTCTTGGACTCTAGTTGTTCCATGACTCTAGTCTCCCAGGACTCTAGGTCTTGAAGACTCTCTCAGAGTTAATAAGAACATAAGAACATAGAACATAAGAAAGGAGGAACACTGCAGCAGGCCTGTTGGCCCATACTAGGCAGGTCCTTTACAATTCATCCCACTAACAAACATTTGACTAACCCAATTTTCAATGCCGAATGTATTCTTTAGTTCCAGCAACTGTGTAATGTTCAGTAATACATTAATATTCGTCTGTCTCTCAGTCTTCCTCACCAGACCGGATCTGCCTTTACTAGATGTTCTTGTATAGGAGAATCAACCTTTTGAAAATAATAATTTTGTACACGAATGGTATGCAGAATTAGACATACATACAACATCTGGGTATCTTTATTTTTAGACGTTTCGCCATCCACTGGCTTTATCAATACAATACAGAGACATAGTGTGAAGACTGTAGAACTATATGCAAAAGATGAGGTAATCAGTCCCTCAGCCTTGGAGTTGGTGAAAAGCACCGTTTTCTTGAAGACTATTGTGCTATTCATCAACTCCAAGGCTGAGGGACTGATTACCTCATCTTTTTATATAGTTCTACATCACATTATGTCTTTGTAATGTACTGATAACGCCATTGGATGGTGAAACGTCTACAAATAAAGAAACCTAGATGTTGCTCATGTATCTAATTCTTCAATAATAATTTTCTGTTTTCACACTCTTTTCCTCATTTATTACTTCAGTAAATATCTTTCTTCGGATCTCATTCTCCTTTATTTTCTCCCTCCTTCCCTTCTTTTTATGAATCGTTTAAATTCTCATTTTCTTCCTCATTGAATACATCTCTCCCGACCAGCATCCTTGGAAGACCCTCCAGCCCTTGTATAATCTCTGCATCCCTTTAATAATTCCTACGCCATTTCTTTACTTAATCCCTTTCTCCCTCTTTTCGTTAATCCTCTTATCTCTCCCTCCCTATTTCAATCCCACCTGCCTTTAATGCCTCCTAGTATCCCTTCTTTAATTTCTACCTCCTCTGAACCTTCTCTCCTTCCTTCAAATTTCCTTCCCTTTTTAATCCCTCTTTCCTCAAATTACTCCCTACCTTAATCCCTCATCTTTATTAATCCCCTCCTGCTTCACTTATATAATCCCAATTTTCCCCTCCCTCTACTTTCATCCTCCACATCCTTCCTCCTCACCCCTCCCACCTCGGGGACTACGTCTTCAAGCTACGAAAATAATTAATTCCTTGATCTATCAAAGTCAGTGGCGAGGCCGACACCCCCGCGTTTGGAGGAGCGATAAAGTGCCTCGTCGAGCTGAGAGGAAACCAATCTTGGGAAATATACTTGAAGGCTGGAAATTAGGCTGGAAGGAAGGAAAATAATAGTTTCTTCACGAAAATGTTTTAGTTATATATTTTTTTTTTTTTGCCTTGAAATATGAGAAATGGAAATAAGATTTGATACAATGAGGTACAGGCTAAATATAAACTCACTCTCACGGAATATGAGATTGTGTGTGATTTATATAATTACAAAATTGATAGATGAGAGAGAGAGAGGGAGATCTGGGATCATTTATTCCTAGGATGACTTGTGTCTGGAACATGTTCGTACAGCATAATGACATCAGTGAATTATAGTCAATTGACCAAATGAAATTGGTAGCCCACAGATGGCTCCAACTTTATGTTGTTTTCTATCTATAAACCTATTAACAATAAACGACTTTCACATCAGCTTGTAAATAAACCCTAACCTTGTAGAACCTTGGGTAAAAAAATAGAGAGAGAGAGAGAGAGAGAGAGAGAGAGAGAGAGAGAGAGAGAGAGAGAGAATAAAATGGAAATACAGAGAAGCATACAGATACAGTTAAATTAACAATCCTATAACAAGATTTACAATGGAGAAAAACTTCACAAAAATACATAAAAGGCTTCACGCATTACAAATAATTTCAACATTTTTATTTCAATGAGTTAATGACATTTTTCTTTCCCCACAGGTCAGCTCCGACAGCACCAGCATCTCTCTGAGTCCCTACTGGCTACACCAGGAAGGCTCAAGGTGGAAACAGATGCACCATTTGATTTTCAACTCTTCAAGTCCTGATCCATCAAGCTTGAGCAGTGGCAACATCAAGAACTGAAGGATAAACGAGTTGGTTTGTGAACAGTTATTTTAGAACCGCTCAAATCCGCTGCAAAATAAAAATACGACAGTGGCCTCGACCTCTTAGTGACCCGTCCTGACTTGCTATGATATCGCTCACCATGCCGGCCGAGGTAGTCAGTCCACATTTCAATCACACGGATGCGAGAGTAAATCCCAACCACGACGGCAGGAATGCTAGCCAGTCCAAACCCTTGCATAGTGTCTCAAGCCCAGCAAGGAGCAGCGAAAACTCGCTCCTCGTGTTAGAAAACGCGCTCGTAGAGGCTAACTGCTCAGAGATGATGGATCTGGGCTCGTCTAACAGCACCTGTAACAACTACACCGTCACTTCTAACGCCACCAACTCCACCTCTGTCCCGGGAGACTCCTACTACTTCTATGAGGTAAGTGACTAACGATCATGTTTAAAAGAAATTTCACTTCTCAGTTACAGCAACTGTATGAACATTAAAATGGTATAAAATACCTACAGATTGTTAGGTAAGACACATATGCAACAGTTAGGTATCTTTATTTCGAAACGTTTCGCCTACACAGTAGGCTTCTTCAGTCGAGTACAGAAAAGTTGATAGAAGCAGAAGATACTTGAAGACGATGTAATCAGTCCATCACCCTTAAAGTTTTGAGGTGGTCAGTCCCTCAGTCTGGAGAAGAGCAGTGTTCCGTTGTCTGAAACAATATTGTTTCAGACAACGGAACAATGCTCTTCTCCAGACTGAGGGACTGACCACCTCAAAACTTTAAGGGTGATGGACTGATTACATCGTCTTCAAGTATCTTCTGCTTCTATCAACTTTTCTGTACTCGACTGAAGAAGCCTACTGTGTAGGCGAAACGTTTCGAAATAAAGATACCTAACTGTTGCATATGTGTCTTACCTTACAGCAACTGTACGAGACTCATTCATCAGTGACAAGATTTCAGTGGTATTCAAACGATTTTGAAGTCACAGGACGTCTGTGTCTTAAAAAAAAAATCGAAAACTTAGCCAAAAGGTAAAATTTTATTTTGAAGTCACAGACCTTTATATTAAAACATATTCCCGATTCTTAAGCGAAAGTTTAAATTTTAATGTCACAGAAACAGGGTAACAAAACTTTGTTTGTACTTTGTGTAATATACCGAATGCAATTTACTTATACAGTAACATCACTGCGACTAGCCACGGAGTCGAATCCATGCTGCTTTGGCCTGCCTCATGGTGGGCGAAAACTCATGACGCCTTAATCCACGGGACCACACAATCCTAAGGACATACAATGGTGTGGATGCCTCTAGGCTAATTTCATTCTGCTCCCTGTTTGGTGTACTAGTACAACGAGCAGTATTTTATATTATTGTACCCACGAACAAGTGGTATTGATCAATAACAACACTGTGACTTGTCAAGGAGTTGAACCCATGCTGTTTTGGCCTGCCTCATTGTACGATGCTCGTTGTACTTGTACACAAAACAGGGAGTAGAATGAAATTAACCTAGAGGCTAATTTCACCACCGTATGTTCTTGGGTAGTGGGTACAACATCCAGCTCTGCTGTATGCACTACTCTTAAGGATTGTGTGGTCCCCGTGGATTAAGGCGTCATGAGTTTTCGCCCACCATGAGGCAGGCCAGAGCAGCATGGATTCGACTCTTTGGCAAGTCCAGTGTTGTTACTGATCAATACCACTTGCTCGTGGGTACAATGATACTTATACAGATATGCGAATTTCACAAAAGAAACAAATAAGTTTGGAAATTTATGAGAAAAAGAAGACGATATCAGTCAACATATCATGAAGGTGTTCATTCTATTTTAATGGTACTTCAAGCACAGTTACAGATGCATGGAATTTGAACTAAGTCTAATTTTTTTAAGGACGAAAGTATTCCATAATTGTAATAAGCAAATCAGGAAGTACTCAACTTTTTTTTATAGAAACACACACCATAGTATGAGTTGCAGTTGAACTGCATCCATTTTACTCTGAACTTTTTATTCAGCATTTGTTACTTAGTTTGTGTGTTAGACGACAAGAACTCTACAATAATAGTAAGACTTGTTCTCTTCTCTCAGTTCTTCACACCGCGCCAGTACCTGTGCGCCAGGTCAGGCTGCGCTAACACGCAGTAGTTTGATAGAAATTGTCCAATTTTTCACACAGTGAACTTTATATCCTGGAGCTGAGTGGTCTTCCCTTGACACATCTAGAAACTATGTTACTCAATAAATTTCTCAGATCTTTTGCACACTACTGTGTCATACTTCAATTCTTTTTACTATGCAATGCGATACGAAGATGAGAGATCATTTTATTTTTGTAGTTATGCATTTATATGTAGCAGCAACATTCAGTACAGAATTTAGTTTACCTTCGTCACACTCCAGCGCATAGTTTAGTTCCCCTCGTCACTCTTCAGCACACAGTTTTCTTTCCCCTCGTCACTCTCCAGCATATAATTTAGTCTCCCCTCGTCACTCTAAAATATAGTTTAGTTCCCCTCGTCAGTCTCCTGCACACAGTTCAGTCTCCCCTCGTCAATTTGCAGCATATAGTTTTGTTCCCCTTGTTACTCTTCAGTATGTAGTTCAGTTTCCCCTCGTCAATTTTCAGCATATAATTTAGTTCCCCTAGTCACTCTGTAGCATATAGTTTCCTCCTCGTCACACTCCAGCGTATAGTTTCCCCTTGTAACTTTTCAGCATGTAGTTTTCTCTCGTCACTTTCCAGCATATAGTTTCCCCTCGTCACTCTCTAGCATATAGGTTAGTCTCCCCTCGTCACTCACCAGCATGTAGTTTAGTTTCTCCTCGTCACTCACCAGCACATAGTTTAGTTTCCCCTCGTCACTCACCAGCACATAGTTTAGTTTCTCCTCGTCACTCACCAGCACATAGTTTAGTTTCCCCTCGTCACTCACCAGCACATAGTTTAGTTTCTCCTCGTCACTCACCAGCACATAGTTTAGTTTCTCCTCTTCACTCACCAGCACATAGTTTGGTTTCTCCTCTTCACTCACCAGCACATAGTTTGGTTTCTCCTCTTCACTCACCAGCACATAGTTTGGTTTCTCCTCTTCACTCACCAGCACATAGTTTTGGTTTCTCCTCTTCACTCACAAAGCACATAGTTTGGTTTCTCCTCTTCACTCACAAGCACATAGTTTGGTTTCTCCTCTTCACTCACAAGCACATAGTTTAGTTTCCCTCGTCACTCACACAGCACATAGTTTAGTTTCTCCTCGTCACTCACCAGCACATAGTTTTAGTTTCTCCTCTTCACTCACCAGCACATAGTTTAGTTTCTCCTCGTCACTCACAAGCACATAGTTTGGTTTCTCCTCTTCACTCACAAGCACATAGTTTAGTTTCCCCTCGTCACTCACCAGCACATAGTTTAGTTTCTCCTCTTCACTCACCAGCACATAGTTTAGTTTCTCCTCTTCACTCACCAGCACATAGTTTAGTTTCTCCTCTTCACTCACAAGCACATAGTTTAGTTTCTCCTCTTCACTCACCAGCACATAGTTTAGTTTCTCCTCTTCACTCACCAGCACATAGTTTAGTTTCTCCTCTTCACTCACAAGCACATAGTTTAGTTTCTCCTCTTCACTCACCAGCACACTGTCGTCAGGCTTTATATAAATATGTCAACACTGTCCATACTCTGTACAAACACCTAGATATTATAGTCGTCATATTCAAACAGCGTAGCACTTTACTACCTTGTAATATAAAGTACCGTCTTCTTTCCTTAACATATAGTACTAGTCATTACCCACACCACCTATATAAAGCTCTTCTCATTGTCCACAGCTGTTACACAAATTTTCGATTTTGCATACCACTGCGAAACCATATTATGTTCCAATAGAGACTTTATTATTATTATTATTATTATTAAAATATTTATTATTTTTTCTGTTGTTGCTGGTGTTATTAGTCTATCTTAGCTTAATATGGGAGTGGTAAACCAAAGGTGTCATACAACGCCTGGGAAATGGGAGGTAATCTGGGTTTCTATAAGGAAATAGAAGGTAGCAAGAGCCTATTTTACTGTAGTTCACATTAGCCATAAAAGCAGCACGGAGCATCTTCAGAGGCGTCTGGGAGATTTGAATCTCGTGAGGAAAAGAGAGAGAGAGAGAGAGAGAGAGAGAGAGAGAGAGAGAGAGAGAGAGAGAGAGAGAGAGAGAGAGAGAGAGAGAGAGAGAGAGAGAGAGAGAAAGAGAGAGAGAGAGCGAGAGAGAGAGAGAGAGAGAGAGAGAGAGAGAGAGAGAGAGAGAGAGAGAAGAGAGAGAGAGAAGAGGAGAGAGAGAGAGAGAGATGAGAGAGAGAGAGAGAGAGAGAGAGAGAGAGAGAAGAGAGAGAGAAAAAGAGAGAGAGAGAGAGAGAGAAAGCTTGTCAATAAAGATAGGGATCCATAACCTTGTCAAACCCTGTGTAAAAAAAAGAGAGAGAGAGAGAGGGAGGGAGAGTGGGAGAGAGAGAGAGAGAGAGAGAGAGGGGAGAGAGAAGAGAGAGAGAGAGAGAGAGAGAGAGGAGAGAGAGGAGAGAGAGAGAGAGAGAGAGAGAGAGAGAGAGAGAGAGAGAGAGTGTGTGTGTGTTCCACAAGGAAGCGTGCTGGGACCATTTTTATGGAATTCTTACTTCAACGACCTTCTTCATCTCATCCCAGAATCACATGCATATGCAGACGACTGTACACTGACATTCACTTATCCAAGGGAAGAAATGCCAGCTGCTCTAAGCTACATCAATCACCAGCTAAGAGCTATATCAACTTGGGGAAATAGATGGCAAGTAACATTTGCACCTGAGAAAACGCAAATGATGATCGTCTCTAGACACCATGATGGTAATGTTGGTGCTGTAGTAAGGATGAATGGGAGGGTGTTGGCACCTGGAGAAGAAGTTGATGTCCTTGGGGTGAAATCTGACTCCAAACTAACCATGAAGAACCATGTTGTAAATCTTGCAAACAAGGCAGCCAGGAAGCTTACAGCACTTCGCCGTATCTCGCATGTGCTTGACAGTAGGGGTTGCAAGATTCTGTACGAGGCACAAGTACGCTCACACCTTGAGTATGCTCCACTTTCTTGATTTGCCTGCCCCATCCTCTCATCTGCGACTGCTTGACAGAGTAGAGAACAGAGCAAGACGTCTCATCTCTCGCCTGGACCCGTCCTGGATAGATCTATCATTTCAGCAGAGCCTTCAACACAGGAGGGATGTGGGTGGCCTTACTGTAATGTACAAGGCCAATATTGTCAAAGTACCACGCTTGGATCCACTTCGAGGACAGCGTGAAAGAAGCTTTTATGCCACAAGACGGGCAGAAAGCAGCAACTTCACTCTGGCTGTACCCTTCTCCAGAACATCACTCCATCTGATATCATATA